TTTATTTTACTTTATAAAATTATTTCATTAATTTTATGGGTATTAGGTTTCAAGATTTTTTAAGCTCGTTTAGAAGAATCTATTATAGTATGGGTGTCGTTAAAAAGTCAAAGAATTTCATATTTAGAGTTCAATTTCCAAACAACTGACCTAACATCTGTGAAGATCATGATCATCATCGAACGCCATCCACGGAAGTACAATCTAATCAGCTTTTCAAGATCATATACATGAGATGTCCCATTTTGTCAGCTCCTAACACATACCTAAATGCCAAGCCCTTTGATTGTCTCTTCATAGCAGTTGATGGTTTTCTTAGTCCTAGTAAGATAAGTGTGTGATATTCAGGTGTAGATTTTAGATTAAGATCAAGAGTCCTTGTTTTGCAGGAGTTCAATCTTATAATTTTTCAAAGATTTATAACCTCAATTATTAAAGAGCTTTTAATTGAGTTGATATTCAAAGAAATTCAAGATTAAAATTTACACATTGGTTATAACCTCAGAAGGAAATATTTTGTTTAAAATGTTTAAATGTCAAATGACTTACAAAAATTAAACATATTAAGAAAAAAAGAAAAACAAGTTCAAACAAGATGAAATACTTTTGATGCGAGTGCAACAAAAATTTCTGATGGATACCGTAGCCCACTCCTGGTCAAAATGCCCCATTACACATCGAACGTCCATTCCCTGAATCAATCAAATTTTGGACCATGCGTTTCAATGCCCCATAATTCTCAATGATGTGCCCTGAGCTCCCAATATGGTAGCTACATATAGCGTTAACATCATGGCCTTCAGGATATGGGGCCTTTTTTGGTTTGGATTGAATTGGAGTCACAAGGTTCTTCTCAACTAGCGTTGGGAGCAATTCCTTATATGTCATTGGAATTGGATTGATGGGAGTCTTTTCATGGAACACCTTATGAGGTTTGGTCACTTGATTAGCTAGATAAGATCCCACTTTGTTAATATTAACTCTTTTCTCAATATCAGTACTGCTAGTGCCTCTTATCTTGTCATTCTTGACATATCATTCAATCATTTCTCCAATCATGATGACGTCAGAGAAACTTTTAGTGGAATCCCCTAACATGTGGTTAATATATGGAGATTTTAATGTATCGATGAATAAAGCGATGAACTCACTTTTAATCATTGGTGGATGCACTTGAGATGCAACATCCCTGAATCATTATGCATAATGTCAGAAGCCTTCATTACACTTTATTTGTATATTTTGAAGCGTTGTTCGATCAAGGGTCATATCAGTTATGTGCTTGTATTGACCCAAAAAGGCATAAGCCAAATCCTTCCAAGAGAAAATTTAAATACGATTCAATTGATTTTACCACTTAGAAGCGAGTCCAGTCAAACTGTCTTGAAAGTAGTGGATGAACATCTGATCATTATTGGTATATCTAGTCAACCTTCGAATAAACATCATGAGATGGGCAGAAGGGCAACTGGTTCCATTTTACTTTTCAAAATTGGCCATTTTGAATTTAGGGGGGAGCACCAAGTCATGAACCAAGACTAGTTCACTTGTATCTATTTCATTATGAGAGTTTTGTCATCCCATTTTTTTAATGTCTTTCTACACCAATTTTTTAAGTTCTACGGGGGGAGCACCAAGTCAGGAACCAAAACTAGTTCACTTGCATCTATTTTATTATGAGAGTTTTGTCATCCCGTTTCTTTGAATATCTTTCTGCACCAATTTTTTAAGTTCTCAGGGATCTAATTCTTGGCTTTTTCATCTCATCAGAATCAGACATGTTGTGACCAGTAGGTTATCCTGAGGATTTAACACAGTTGCTTGAGTCTTAGTGGCGGAGAAGCCTACTTGGTGGCTTGGAAGCCTCACAAATTAAATGAGTAGTTGTTGATTAGCATGTTTCACCACACACTCAGAGGTTTCCATGGTCGAGGAAATCTTCTCTTTGCCTCTTTCTTGGTTAAGCCCAGTCAATTTTGCTACAATTTGGTCAACCAGGTTGTCTTGGTTTTGCAAGATGCGATCCACAATGGCCTTTTGTGCTTGCTCCATTTTAGCTTCCCAATCTCTTCCATTTCTTTCTTCAGTTTCTCAAATTTTACTTCCATTCGCAGTACTATGTGAATGAAGTTGCGCAGTTAGAAACACCTTCTCATATTCCTCCACGAAATAAATCCATGTATCCATGATTAATGTATGTAAAAATGCCTAAATGAATGCCATGCAGAATGAAAAGATGTGAATGCGAATGCAAAAAATGTTGGTCCCAAAGATGAATATCATAAAACAAAATTCATTAAAAACAAAACTCTTCACTATTACAATATAGTCCATCTTTACATAAATTCTCTCGCTTAGTCTAAAGTAGGATACAACTATTTGATTGAATTTTTTTTTATCCCTTTTATGAAACATTTCAATTTGATAGTCAATTGCGGATCAACAACTTTACATTATGTCATGACAATGTAATGCAAAAAAGGTGATAAATGCCACGAAAATGAGAAGAAATGAGTTAATACATGCAAGATAATAAATAGTTTTAAAAGATGATATTTAAAGATAAATATAAAACATATACAATCATGATATCTACCCAAGCATGCTTTTATTAAAGATCAATCCTATCTGGACATGCTTTCTACCCAAAATGATTTATTTCAAGAAATTAATCATATCCTCGTGGTATCTAGTTCATAGCTTTCATTCAAAAAGAAATTTATTCTATGAATTTAAAGCAAAATGTAAAGGTTTAGAGTCATTCTTCCTTCTTGTACACTTATTTTGGTACCTACTAACGATCAGATGTTTTGTATGGCTACCTAGGGTGACCATTCTATGGTTCACTATATGTATGGTTTCGACTCTAACAGGGAAAGGTACTCAAATTGTCCTTATTGTCGGTACCCCATTGGGCTGCCAAGCCCTCAATCCTCACCCATTATAGGCTTAAACGGATCGAGTTCAATTTGAGGGGATTCACTTCCTTATACTCATACGAGGAATAAATCTCTATGAAGGTATAAGGCATGTATACCCCAGAGGTTATTTGCTAAGGCTCATACAAAGAATAAAATCTTACGAGAGAAAAGCGTTCACCCCTACTTAATTGGGACAGAGCTCGGGTGTAGAGTTTATGTCATGCAAATGCACGTGAAGTGTGTGAGGAGGTACACACAAACTTTCAACCAAGTAAAACAACAACAAAATAAAAGAAAAACTATTGAGAGAAATTTTGGTGAAGCTGAAAACATGAATTTAAACATTAGTACAACTATTTACATAAACAATGTATAGTAATACAAAATTTCTATAAAATGATCATAAGATAACGATAGACTCGAACTCATAATTTCCACAACTACGACAATTTATAAGAGACTTACATCCTGACTCACTAAAGTTTCCCCAGTGGAGTCGCCAAGATGTCGTAACGTTTTTTTTACGAACGAATAAGTTTTCGATGAAAATCTCAAATTTACGACTTATTTGGGAAAATTTTAATTTTTGTGTTTATTTTGATTAAATTGATTTGGGAATCACCATCGACCTTTGGGTTAGGTAAGCCGAATACCTAAAAACACCTTTTAAAACAATTTTAAGAAAAAACATTTTTAAAACAAAAATTGATTTGTGTTATCAAAGATTCTTTTTGAAAGATTTGGAAGTCGATTACGCGTGGCAAAAGGTTAGCACCTCCACAACGCCCAAAATTTGGTACCTAATCGCTTGTATGTAATCGTGGTGGAAATTTAAAAATTTGAATCAATATTTAAAGTGTGATCCTTTTATTGAATATTAACTAATTTATTTTAAATTAATTATTAGGGAACACTCCTTAACTTGAGCAAAAATCTCGGGATTAGCACACCCTCTAATGAGAAGGCTATCACGATCTATTTCTCCTGTATACAAGAAATGTCCATTCTCAACATTATCAAGAAGCACAAATCGGATGTAAATTGAATATTAGTGATTGCATAAAACAACTTACTATTTAAATAAACATGCATTACATCAATTGAATTAAAATAAAAACAAATTAATTATCATTTTTATACAAATAAACTCGACTTATTTCAAGTTTACTTTTCATTCGAATGTTGTATCAAATCGCACTACTTCGATCAAGAAGTGCTTTTCACGCCCATTCTACAATATAGTGTTCTTGAAAGCGTTCAAATAAAATATTTAAAATGAAAATTAACATCAAGTATAAGAAATATAAAAATATTGACAACTGGCATTTTATAAAATAAATAAATAAATAATATCAGATGAAATAGAACAAAAATTACTAATATATATATATGAATATACAAGGGTCAAAGAAAATTAAGTAAATATATATGCACATATATAAAAAGAATATGATATAACATATACAGACAACAAAGACCAAATAATCGTAATAAGAATAATAATGATAATAAACATACTAATGTAGCTAAAAATATATAATAAACCCATGAAAGCTCACATTTAAAAGTGAAAGCAATGACTAAAATAAAATTAGCTGATCCTATTCCTATATGTAATGGGGTGAAGGGCAGATAAGGTAATAGGCTGACCCCAACATCAGGTTGAGAACAGCTTCCGTGGAAGAACTCCACCAATCAGAATTATGAATTGTCTACCGTATCAATCCCACAACCACAAGATTAAGAACTTTACGCTCTACCAACTAATCTGGATGGGCAATTATATAAAGATCAGTGACAAATTTCAAAGAAATAACATAGCAAATAGGTGACTAAATTGAAATAATATCAACATGGGCATTAAATTCATAATAAAAATAAACACATAAATGACCAAAGTTAAATAAAAAGCAAGATAGAGAGACAAAATCGAAATAAGTAAAACAAAGGATGCAATGGTGACTACTTTGTAAAAATGTGCCTAAGTTAGAGTGACTTAAGAGAGATTCACGCTAAAATTATAAAATGAGACCTATATCAGTAATTAAAAAAAACTTTACCTAAAAACCTAACCTAAAAACTAAACAAAACTAAGCTTTCATCTTCTCCCTCGCCTCTCAATATACGACCGAGAGCCCCCAAAACCCATGGCAATCACCACTTTTCGGCCACCAACAAGCCAAGACCGACTGCTCAACTCCCTGGACCCGACGATGACGACATCGACGCTTGACCAAGGCTCCGACGACTAAGGGTAAAAAATCTCTCCCCCTCCTTTTTATTATAGTTTTTTCTTTGAAATAAAAGAAAAAAATTGAGAAAAAGGAAGAGAACCTTAAAAACCTCTTCTCTTTGTATTGCTGGTTTATCTCAAAAATGAGAAGAATATGATACAAAAATTTTAGAAAAAGAACGGGGGAATGGGACCTTGTGTACCCTCTTGCTTTTGAGAAAAAGAAAAAACCCCCTTTACAATCAGATTTTTGTGGATTTTATATCAACCCATATTACACGTAAAAAATTGTTACTGATTTAGAGATGATGACAGGGCATGGTGAGGCTGCTGCTTCACGTGGGGGAGAGCAGTTGATGGCAGGGCATGGTGGGGCTTGGCAACAGCAACAATCGGGGCTGAGGGATTTGGTGCAGCAATAGGTGGCAGGGTAAGGTGAAAAATAGTGATTACAAAAGTTCATCTACAACATTGTCTCCTTCTTATGGGTCTATTGCTCTAGTACTAATCATGCTTGAAGAAAATCGAGCTTGAAAATTGTTCTTAAGATCTAAGTAGCGGTGAATTTGTTCGAGAATATAGTAGATTTTCTCACATTGATTAATATATACAAAAGTTTCCACTGTAACTCTTAGAACCAAATTTGCATCTTCAACAATAAGGTTATTTCCTTCTCTAATCTTCGTAAGTCTTCGGACTAATCTTGCTCTCTCAATCCCAAGATAAACCTTCTCGGTGCACACACTATTAAGGGTCTTGATCAGCTGTACACGATTTTTAATATACAGTATTTCATCTATGGACATTATCACTTATTAAATCATCCTAGCCACAGTCTCAGTTTGTTGGAATCGTTTCCTAGACAGGTTAAGGATCAGTGAATTGGAATTTTTCAATCTTTAGATTCAACGCAAGTGGTCTAAAATATATATTTTTTTCCAAAATATGCATACATAATTCAAAATGATTTTTTAGTAAGAGGTTTTGAAATATAGAATTTAAGATTTAGTATTTTAGATTTTATAATTCAATAAATAATAATTAGATTGATCCCAAATAATACTAGTGTTACTATGTAAAAAAGAAAGAAAATTATGTATTAAACAAGAGAAATAAATCATTTTCTATCATAATTACTAGGTGCTTTAAATGGATATGAACTTCCAAACTATTTTTACAAATTTTTTACAACTTTTTAGAAATTATTTTATGTATATTACGTCATTTTACTCACATTGTCTCTCAAATAGATTCTAGCAGCTCATAAACAACTCACAGTTTTGTTTAAACGTCAAATCTATTAATCAATGATAATTCTTCCTCTCAGACTCCTCTAATGCAAAAAAATCAAAATGCTAAAACACTCTAGTTTAATGTATAATGAATTTTTTAATTATGGATGCATATTTTGGAAGAAAAAATAAAGGAAGAAGAAAAAAACCCATCGTACAAAGTTCGACGCATCTCGTTAACTTATAGCTTGTTTACTGGGAAGCAACTCTTGTCAAGAAGATGTAGGAGTTTGTCTACATTTAAAAACCCAAGAATCTAAATGTTTACTGTTATTCTATTTTCGCTGCAAGGAAACTAATACCATGGGTTGATCGATCTGTGTCATCATTGCCTTGGACACCAACATTTTAGACAAATGCTTCTTAGCTTCTTGGATGGTGAGGCCCATCAACTCACAAAGCCTCTTCATTGTGATCTTTGAGTACCACTTTGAAAGAACAAGCATTTTATGCCCAATATCTCTTATTCTCAAATCCTCTGCTGCTTGGTCCCTGAAAGAACATCTAAGTATATACTACTCATCCTCAAACTCGTTCCTATATAAATTCCACATGGATGTCCACTAGATAATATACATTGCAAAAAAATGTTTCAAAAATAAATTAAATTTTGAAACCTGAATAAAATATTTTTTTTCTCCAATGTAAAATGAAGAAGACTTGATTACACTAGATCATGTGGGGCTAGAAAATATAACAATAGATTTTTTTTCAAAACCTGTACACATTTGGATTGATTTTCTACGATGAACGGAATCTGGTATATTGCATTGTAGTAAAGGAAACTTCCAATGTAGCCATTGTTATGAGAATGGAGCCTAATCATTTACTCATAGTAGATATACTTCAATTGAAGTAGTGAAGTTATATCATCATGAAGTTCTCTACAACTAGGGTTGTAAATGAGACGAGACAGATCGTGAGCTACTCGAGATCGACTCGATCAAGGCTCGAGTCCAATTGTTACATTATATATTACTAAAAGAAAAAATAAAAGCACATGTTAGATTACACGCGTTTGGCTGATTTTTTCTTTCTTTTTTAACTTTTTACTGCACAAGTACTTGATAACGTAGAAAAATAAAATAAAATAAAATAACAACCAAACAATAAAAAATTTGAAAATGGTTAAAAATTATTTTTGAATAAATATTCTTATATTTATTTTAAATTAATAAAAATTATTTATCTAATGACAAATATTTAATATATTTCTAATGATAATATTTTTAATAACTAATTTTTTAAATTGTTGTTATATTTTGAGTTTCGGGTTCAAATATCATAAATATCAAGGGTTTGAGCATTTAATACAAAGATAATATACTGTACTTACCTCATAAATCAGTACCAAGTCGATTAATTAATGTCTTTGCAATGAACTTTAAATCCTAAACCCTAAACTATAAACTATAAACCCTAAACCCTAAACCATTAATCTGTGGGTTAAGTTATGCACATGAAGGTTTGTGTTAATACATTAATATCATAATATGATTGTTACATTATCGATTGGCTTCACATGTGTTTGAGCACCAACAACTGTAATAGTGATTGAATATTCATTGTCAAATGATTAAAAGTATTTAGGACGTATATTGATCATTCGAGGTAACGTCAAATTCAACATTGAAAAAATTTAACGAAAAAACTATCAAATGACCAAAAATGTACCATAAAAACAAAAGAATACATGTCATATGAACAAAATTAATAAAAACTAAAAAGAAGAAGTAAATATGTGATATAAGAACATAAATATAATTAACATATATATGACTATTATTATATATGAATAGTAATTTGGTTTGGTCAAACTTGGAAATTATTAATATGTTTAGTCAACATTATTTTGGATTTCTTTCCATTTTATCATACTGAATAATAAATTGAAATTTCTCAAAAATCATGTGAAAGAAATGGACAATTACCATTTCAGTCCCCCAAAGCAACCCCTTGAATACGGTATCCTTTAAACCCCCAATGTTATATAGCCTTGAACCTCATCTCTCTTAAATCCCAAAACCAACTAATAATGTCCCTCCAACGCCAGAACCATTCTTCCTCCTTCCCTTCTTGCTTCCGCCCCGCCTCCGCCGCCGCCGACACCTTCAAAGCGTCTCCACCGCCTCCGCAAACCGTTGGTAAAACCAACCTTACAACAAGTTTCTACCACACAAATCTTGGGCTTTTCTCCCTCACCTGGTCCCGTACCTTCCTTGGCTGCTCTATCATCCTCAACCTCTACCCTTCCTCTCATTTCTCTCACTCTTCGCCTCTCTCTCTCCCTTCATTACCTTCCTCCTACACCCTCCGTTTTCATCTTCTTATCAAACCCTTCCTTTTTTGGAAGAAATATGGGAACAAAAAGCTCAGTACCGCCACCACCGCCAACCTCCATGTCTTCTGGGACATTTCTAGGGCCAAATTTGGACCTGGTCCAAAACCCGAATCCGAATTTTATATCATCGTCGTTTTTGATCGGGATATGATACTTCTCGTCGGTGATTCTACCAAAGAAGCTTACGCCAGAAATAAAGCCCAAGCTCTTGTTTCGAGAAGGGAACACCTGTTTAGCAACAAATTGTACACTACAAAAGCCAGTTTTGCCGGCAAAATGAGAGAAATTTCGATCGAATGTAGGGTAAACGATGATACAGAGCTTTGTTTCCGCGTCGACAATGAAAGGGTATTGCAAATAAAGCTGCTGAAATGGAAATTTAGAGGCAACGAGAAGATTCAAGTCGATGGGTTCTCGATTCAAATCTCGTGGGACGTGTATAACCGGTTGTTTGATCGGGATTTGAACAATGAGCATGCGTTTTTCGTGTTTAAGTTTGAGGATGAAGATAAAGGCAGGGTTTTAAAAAACGGTCTGCTACCGCGATTTCGACCGTGATATAGCGATTTTTCCGCCGTTAGAGTTATCCGCGACGGTCGTAATAGCGCCCGCGAACAAGCTACATATAAAACAAGCTACATATAAAACAAGCGGGCTTGTGCAGTTCAAAGCATATCTTTCTCGACCTTTGGCTAAGATTCGAGTTTGAATTGAGCTCAAAATCGAGCTTCAATCAAGCTCGAGTTTCGAGCTTTAATCGAGTTCTTGAAGTATTTTTGACTTCGAGTTTTTTCGAGTTCGAGCTGAATTTGATAATTTTTAACTCGCGAGTTTTTGAGACGAGTCGAGCTTACTCTTATAGTTTTCGAGTTCGAGTTGAGTTCAGCAATACTCGAACTCGACTCGGCTTGTTTACACCCCTATCTACAACATTGTCACCTTCTTGCGAGTCCAATACTCTAAGACCAATCTTCCTTGAAGAAAATTGAGCACGAACATAGTCCTTGCAATCTAAGCAAAGGCGAACTTGTTCAAGAATATAGTAGATTTTCACACATTTATTAATGGAAACAAAAGTTTCCACTACAACTCTCATAACCACATTTGCAGCTCCAGCAATAAGGCCATTTCCTTCTATAATCTTTGTATGTTTTCGGACCAATCTTCCTCTCTCAATCCCAAGATAAACCTTCTCGGTGCACACACCATTAAGGGTCTTGATCATCTCTAAACGAGTTTCAATATACGGTATCTTATCTATGGACATTATCCCTTGTTGAATCATCCCAGCCACTGTCTCGGTTAGTTGGAATCATTTCTTGGACAAGTTAATGATCATTTAATTGAGACTTTTCCAATATTTAGATTCAACGTAAGTGGTTAAAGATATATAATTATTTTCCCAAAATATGCATGCATAATTAAAAATATTTTTTAATAACATGTTTTAAAAATTAGAATTTTAAATTTATTATTTTAGATTTTATAGATTAATAAATCCCAAATAATACTAGTGTTACTACCTAAAAAGGATAGAAAATTATGTATTAAACAAGAGAAAGAAATCATTTTCTATTATAATTACCGGGTGCCTTTAATGTATATTGACTTCCTAACTTTTTCTACAACTTTTGTAGAAATTATTTTATGTATATCACGTCATATTACTAATCAAATTATTTATAAATACATATTATAATCGAATTAATTTTTACTCCCATTGTCTCTCCAAAAGATTCTAGCAGCTCAATGAACAACTCATAGTAGTACTTAAACGTAAATTATATTAATCACGGTCAATTCTTCCTCTCAAACACCTCTAACGCATAAAAATAATAGGCTAAAAACCCTAGATTAATGTATAAAAAATATTTCTAATTATGGATACATATTTCAGAAGAAAAAACATAAAGGAAAAAGAGAAAGAAAAAAACCTCATCATATAAAGTTTGATGCATCTCGATAACTCCTCGACACAACTCATTGTTTATTAGGAGACAACTCTTGTCAAGAAGACGGATGAGTTTGTCTATAATTCAAAACCCAAGAATCTAAATGTTCGTTGTTATTATTTTTCCGCTGAAAGGAGACTAATCTGTGGGTTGGTTGATTTGTGCCATCATTGCCTTGGAGACCACCATTTTAGACAAATGTTTTTAGCTTCCTGGATACCGAGGCACATCAACTCAGCAAGTCTATTCATTGTGATCTTTGAGTATCACTTTGAAACAAAAAGCATTTTATGCCCAATGTCTCTCATTCTCAAATCTTCTATTGTTTGGTCCCTGAAAGAGACTCTCATCCTCAAAGTCGTTCTTATATAAATCCCACATGGATGTCCACTACATAGTTTGCATTGCAACAAACTATTTCGTAAGCAAATTAAATTTGAAATCTCAGTAAAATCTTCTTTCTCCAATGTTAAATGAAGAAGGCTTAATTTCACTGGATTATGTAGGGCCAGAACATATATCAATAGATCTTTTGCAAAGCATGTATACACTCGGATTGATTTTCTATGATGAACGGAATCTAGCATATTGCATTGTAGCAAAGCCAACTTCATGTAGTAATTATTATGAGAATGAAGCCTAATCATCTGCTTCTAGTAGATGTACTTCAATTGAATCAGTGAAGGTATATCATCATTAAGTTCATCTACAATATTATCACCTTCTTGTGGGTACAATGCTCTAGAACTAATTTTGTTGAAGAAAATTGAGCATGAACATTCTCCTTGCAATCTAAGTAGAGGAGAACTTGTTTAAGAATATAGTAGATTTTCTCACATTGATTAATATAAACAAAAGTTTCCACTGTAACTCTTAGTATCAAATTTGGAATCTTCTCTAATGTTCGTAAGTCTTCAGACCAATCTTGCTCTCTTAATCCTAAGATAACCCTTCCCGGTGCACACACTATTAAGGGTCTTGATCAGCTCTACACGAGTTTCAATATACAGTACCTCATCTATGTACATTATCCCTTATTGAATTATCCCAACCACCCTCTCAGTTTGATGGAATCGTTTCCTATACAAGTTAAGGATCAGTTATTTGAGACTTTTTCAATCTTTAGATTCAAAGCAAGTGGTCTAAAATATATATAAGTTTTTTTTTCCAAAATATGCATCCATAATTAAAAATATTTTTCTAGTAAGATGTATTAAAATTTAGAATTTTAGATTTTATAGTTCATAATAATAATTAGATTGATCCCAAATAATATTAGTGTTACTACGTAAAAATGAAAGAAAATTGTGTATTAAACAAGAGAAATAAATCATTTTCTATCATAATTGCTGGGTGTGCCAATCAGGTTTTTTATTTCCCAAATCATCAATTCGTCCTTTTTTTCCATCAAACCCTAAATCAACTCCCAGTGCCATGAAATTTTGTTAGTATTTTCTTTTGAAAATGTATAGTCAGTGTTATGCTTTCCATGTGATTGAAAATTAATCGATCAAATATGTTAAATATATTTTATTAGTAAGTTCTTTTGCAATCATATCTCTTAAATAGTTGATCAGTTATCAACTTGTAAACTTCTCTCATTTGTAGCTGAGTATTCTGAACGCTTTTGTAGTGATTCTTAATGTTCATCTAAGGCAACTAGTATAGAAAAATCTTTGAGAGCTTGTGAACTTCTTGTGTGCTAGTTATATGCAATTATACATTGCCTTAATAGAATCAAAGTACAAATTAATTATTAATACAAATATTGTCGAAAGATGGTTTTGATGGGAAACCACACGTATAAATACATATCTAACCAAGGTCCCTAAGCACATCAATCATTCATTCCAAAGTATTTCATTTGAGAGCATTTGGAAATTTACACCATCTAAGTGAAGTTTTGAGTTCTTAGAAGACCCTTGGCGGTTCGAGTTTTGTGAATCCAAATTTGGAGTGGTTGACGGTGGTTGACGATGGTCAAAGGTGGTCTGACGGTTTTTGACAGTGGTGCAACCACATTCCGAATTTTGACATATGGTGTAGGCAGTGGTTGGAGGTATTTATAAACGATCTTTTCCTCTGCGTCTGTGATTTATGTGTGCTAACATTTGGTATCACGGCATGACTAAAATCTCTCTCTTGCCAGTTTTAAAGTTTGAATGTTCATCAAAATTGATACCATGTTTATTTAGATTTTGAGATTTTCTGTTGTAAACTATGTTGTTAAAATAGTTGGATTTTATTTTAAAAATATTCTAAAATTAATTATGTTTATAATAATTTTATAAAAAAATAGAACTGTTGTATGTTTTTATGTGCCTAAATTATGATTGTACGTAGGTGAATTATACAGTTATTAATAACATATATTTTAGATGCATGAAACTTTAATATTATTGCATAAAAGATTTAGCAATAAAACTTTAGGTTATATATCTAGAGATCAAAATAATTTTATTTAATTAGATAATTAGCCACAACAACTTTGGTTAAATAAAAGTATTTATTATGGTAATGATCTCATCAGGACTATAGACATAAAATGTTGCATTGTAAATTAGCAATAATTTTGAATAAATTTAGGGTTAATATCTAGTTAAGTGATTTTCATAATTTTATTTAGTTAAAGACTAGACACAATATCTTTAGTTAAATAAAATTACTAAAGTTAAAAATCACATAAAGAAAGCTTAAGTATTAAATCCTATTAAATAATTTAATAAGGTAAAATTATTAGGTGCCTTTACATAGTTACGCACAGTAATTATGAAAGTGAATTTAATAATTTTATCAAATAAATAGAAAATAATTCTACCATAAGATGGATCTAATCGAATTAAAAATTTAGTGTACATGCAATTTTTATGTCACTAGATTTATTATTTACATAATTTGCATTGGTAAATTATGATTATATTTGCCTCAAAATTTTTATTAAGCATGTATGTTCATTATTTATTGCAGTTTTACAACTTGTGAATATGTTTGATAATAGAGTAGATATCCCTGAATTAACTAGTGAGAACTTTAAGTTTTGGAAGGAAAGTATTCTTCTTCAGTTGGGATGCTTGGATATTGATTACGCCAAAAGAAAAAATGAGCCACAAATCAGTGATACCAGCACTCAAGTTGATCTTGCTCTGTATGAAAGGTGGGAGCGATCTAATCACCTCAACATTATGTTCATTAAGAGCAAGGTTCCTACTGATGTTTGTGGCTCAATTGAACATTATGAGAATGTGCAAGAATTATTAACTGCTATTGAAAAACAGTTCAAAACTTCTCAAAAATCCTTGGCTAGCACCCTAACCATGAAGTTCACGTCTATGAGGTTCATACTGTGGAAGGCGTACGTGATCACATCAATAACATGCGAGATTTAACAGCTCCACTGAAAGCATTGGAGGTTGAAATGTTTGATTCTTTCCTGGTGCATTTTATACTGAACACTCTTCTACCTAAATATGGGCTATCTAAGATCTCCTGTAACACACATAAGAATAAGTGGTCTATTGATGAACTTTTGACCATTTGTGATCAGGAGGAGGCTAGGCTCGTACTTGAAATATGGTTGAGTGTATTAACAGATACTCATGGAAAGAT